GGCACAATCCGGTGACCGTTTTGGAGTCGAGATTAGACCGCAGTGGTATAGCCCAGGAGGTGGTTGCTTTGCACGATGACTTGTTGGCCTGGCAAGATCTCCACGGGTGTTCTTCGTTGCCCGAGAAGAAGCAGCGTGCAGACTTGGCGAAGAGGGTGGGCAAATATTTCAACAGCAGGGAGGCGCGTGTGAGGACCCTCCAGAAAGCTTATCCTGCAGACTTTGCGCCGCTGCCGGGTTACAGAGTTGAGTATTTGTCCTTGGAAGGCGATTCCCTGCGTGGTGTACTCTGGCGGTCTGCAGCTGAACGCGCTCTGATGTTTTCGATCCCTGGATGGAGAGAAGAGGGCAAGGGCAAGGAGGAGTTTCATCCTTTGCAGGATTTCTGTAAGCGTTGGTTGCCAGAAGCAGACGAGATGGAGTGTCTTGATTTGTTGACCAACACACAGCGCCCTGTCACGTGGAAGCTCGAGCAAGTCGCGAGACGATTGGACTGTTCACCCACGGTTTCTGGTGTGCAAGAAGCTTTAGCCAAGCGCTTACTGCGATCTTTCCCTGAGGATGCAGGTGAATGCCTACAGAAATTCTGCTGTAGATTGTGTCCAACCGACCGACTGCGCAGATGCAAAGTCCTTCAAAGAGCACGTCGCACAGGAGCACGCTGGCGTCGGGCTGCAAGATGATACTCCCCGGATGCTGATTGAGTATCGCAAGAAGATTCTCGCTCTTGTTGAGCACGCAGGACCTCTTGTGTCTCGGTCGATGTCTTGGACGTATTTTGGTGTTTCACTTTGTAACTTCTTCCTGATAACTCCTGTGTGGACGCCGTTCTGCGGAAGCGCAACAAGTACTAGACATAAACAATCTTTTCGGTGCACAAAGGCCAGTCGCGAGCTGAAAAGCGAGAGTAGGCCGGTTTTTCTGTGAGACAGTCACAAGTAGTCAATGACAAGCATAGGGCATAGTGGTTGGTGAACTACATCTCAGAAAAGCAGTGTCCTAGAGTGAAGGAAACGTTATCGCTGCTCGCATATCGATTGTCGCGTCGCCTTTGACAAACTTGTTATATGTTATGAACACAAAACTGCTTCTTGTCATGTCAGGTGGGTGATTTATATGTCATAGTGTTGTATGGGAGGTGTTTTGTTGTTTATGGCATTTTATGTGTGATACATATTTGGTGTGTCCGAACGTGGATGATCGCTGAGGTACCAGGTATGAGCAGACAGAGGACAATAGCTGCCAACTTTGATGAGCGCTTGCGTTGCCCTGCAGGCACGAGTGAGGAGGGCCGAGTGGAAGCTGCCTGTGTGGTGTGTGCTCGACGTTTTTGGGCGCATGAGTTGAACAAGGTGCTACTCTTCACCGATCCTGCCCAAGCAGAAGGGCTACCACAGCTCCCGGCTGGAGTGGATGCAGCAGTCCGTCCATCCCAGCAGCATCGACTGTGCCGCCTGCTGGGAGTTCCACGCTATGCTGAGCGCTGGCCGCACATTGCTTTGGAGGAGTTGCAGAAGTCTGCCGTTGAACATCCTTTCCTCCCAGGCGAATATGTGCTCTTGCACTGGCGGCGCATGCCGGAAGATGCACGACAGCCGTCCCCTGTTTGCCGGGACTGCCGCACCAGCCTGGCAGCCCAGGTTCTGACCTTGCCGCGCCACGCCCTGGCGAATGACCTGTGGCTTGGCAGAGCCTTGCCAGAGCTTCGTTCCCTCTCCGCGGGGACGAAGCGGCTCTTGCCCCTGGTGCGTGTGCGCATGCAGGTCACCGTCCTGCAGCCGGTGGTGCTTCCCCACGCCGAACGGCAGAAGGGCTTCATCGGGAACACCATCTTTTTGCCGCAAGCCAGTCCTTCCTCAGTCGAAGCAGTGTTGCCACCCCGCGCAGAGGACATGGCCGAGCACATCTTGGTCGTCTTGGTGGGCCACAACAGAGGCGACCTGCGATCGTCGGCCACGATGCAGGCACCTCGAGAGGAATACGTTGCCGCTGTCGAGCGCCTCCGGCAAACTTCAAAGTACTACGCGGAGGCAGCGGTCGATCTCAGTCGATGGTCTGGCCAGGAGGAGACTATGTTTGAAGGCTGTGTCCTTGAGACGGACGCAGATAGCTATTTGGCGAAAGAGCTCTTACAACGGGGACCGGCGGACGCTCAAGGCCAAGAGAGCAGCCAGCAGGAGGAGGACGACGCTGGCATGGCGGAGGACACTGCGGAGTCCGGCGAGCGAGCACACGAAGACTCAGGACAGTTGCGTTTGGTCTGTGGGTTGGTAGGTCGTCGTCTCACATTTGAAACTACTGATTCTATATAGACATATACAGATAGTGATCTCTCGTTGCTTGGCTTACTTCTTGGCACACTCCTGCTTGGTCAGGTCATCTGATTTCCAGCATTGTCGGCCTGAATGACACCTCGGACGATGAGAATCGTTGGTTGCGGGTTTGCCGAGACGTGGAGGATCTGTGTCGTCGAAAGCCTCGACAGTATGACACTGATGCAGAGCTGGTCGTGCGCAATCGGGCCAACAATGACCTGGGTGTGGGCGCTGCGCAGATGGAAGGAGCAAATCTACTGGGTCGAGAAGGTGCGCACGAACGTGGAGTCCTTCGTCGCATCCGCCAGGTCCAGACTGTGGCCGCGCATGGGGTGGAGACAGAGCGACAAGCGCAAGGGCAAATGTTTGAGGTCAGGCCACAGAAGTTGGTGGTGCCTTCTCGAGATACCCCTCTGAGCATGTTTGAGCCAGGGAACTGGGCAATGGCTTTTCCTACGTTGTTCCCTTGGGGTGACGGGGTGCCTTTCTTGAAGAGGGAGACGAGCATGGAAGCTTCTGAAGTGTTTCGTTATTTGCTCCTACACGAAGAGCTCCAGTACAGCGGTGATGCAGGTGTTGAGGATGAGGTCCCTGCACTACCTCGATGGAGTTTGTCGGCCGCTCGGGACGACGATTGGTTGCGTCGCGGTGACCGTAGGAATGGAAATCTTTTTTTGGGACCAGATTTCTGGTTAATGTCTTTTGTAGCTGAGTTGTTTTTTGGTTCGGACATCGTATAGTTTTGGTGTCTTTGGCAGTTACTATCGTTTAGGAATAGATATTTATAAATTCTTTTGGTCGCACCGACGCGTCGCTCACCCAAGGAGCAGTTGCTCCCGACGATGTATGATGTCCAACGTCGTTTGACGTTTGATGCGGACCTCCAAGGCCTATGTCAAGAGGAGTGGCTTCGGCCGCCACTGCTCGGTCATAGCCTCCGTGACCTCCGAGCACCTCCTGAAGGCTATGGCGCTGCACGGGGAGAAAGCGGACATCCGCGAGTTGCTCCGCTCCCCGGACGTGGACGTGCCGCTCAAGCGCGCGCTGGGTAGTGTCCTGCAGGCCAGTTCCAACGTTTTGGGCACAGAAGGTCACCGGTCTCAGATCCGTCTGCGAGGCCACGCAGCTGGGTGGCATTACGGCCCAAGTCACATTTTTGTGACGCCGAACTTGGCGGACTCGCGAGCTTCTCTGCTCTTGCAATTGCATCTGCAGGGGGGTTCGCGAGTCGAGGCCTATGAGGTCGACCTGGCCTGGGACCTCGAGGCACCAGCACTGCCCTCGCTGAGCGCAATGCGTCGCATTCTAGCTGCCGACCCAGTCTCTCAAGCAAGGTTTTTTGACGTGATGATGACCTTGTTCTTTGAGGAGATATTGGGCACGTTGCCGCCGCTTACCCGCGCCAGCTTCCGAGGCGGTCTTGCCAGGGACTTCGAAGATGGTTTCGCTGCTTCCACTCATGCTGGTTGCTTTGGAGATGTGGCAGCCTTTTGTGGCCCTCTTGAGACGCAAGGACGCGGTTCCATGCACCCACATATTCTGGTTGTGCTTTTGGGGCGCGACTTGGGCAATCACCTTCGCTCTGTTTTGGCCACCGCAGCGCGTGGAGAACTGGTCATTGAGTTGGAACGCTGGAGTCGCGCCGTCCTACAAGCAGCCAGCCGTATTCGCTACGACAGCCAGCAAGCTCTCAGTCAGCAGTTGGAACAAGAAGTCTGTCCACTACCGCTGAGCGAAAATCAGCGTGCTGCGTGTGGAAGGCAATACAGCGACGTGCCACTGAGGTCAACGGAGCCAGACGGCCACGAAGCGGCGACGGAGTCCAGTACACCTCTCCGACTGACCGGACGCTTCGCTTCACTACGTCCACATTATGTCAGGAGGAGCAAGGCCGCTGCTTTCAACGCGGCCAGTTGGTCGGGCGCCCTCTGTCGCGACTATCGTCGCCTGGTCATACAGAATCACTTCCACAAGTGCACGAAGTCTTGTTTCAAGAAGACCATCGGCGGGTGCAGATTTTTTTTTTGCGACACACCTCGGACACTTTGTTCAGATGCTACGAACGGAATCACCGCCGCAGTAACAGAACGAAATTTGGACGGGACACGAACCCGGCGCGGAGGACGTTGTTCTACGCAATCGGCGCAAGGTTCGAGTGTCGCCGTTTTCGTTTCACGACATCAGCATTGTAGCCTGGACGTGGTTATGCGGATCCGATGTCATTAGTATTAGTTCAGTGTCGGACAGGGATAATAGTCTTTTTTTGATATGCACCGGTCACCGAGCACGTTATCTGCACCGGTCACCGAGCACTGAACTTAAGAGTTGTGTGTGACACGGCCATGCAACGTTGACTCAGGAACGCTGCGAAAGGCAAGCGGGGATGTCGATTTGGCTGCTTCCACGTCGAACTGCGCAAAGAAACGGAAGACTCTGGACTCAAGAAGGTGCGTGCGCGTTGTTTGAAGGGATGGCCTCGAGTTCAGCGTGCGCAGTTTATGATTCTACCACGTGAAAATGTTCCATTGGAGGAAGAGGAGGCCATGAAGAATGAGAACCCCCATGTCTTTCAACCTCAACGGGACCATCCCTTCGAAAGCATGTCGAATCCCATAGCTCAAGTCAGCATGCGGTGCAACGTCGACGTGAAATACTTGGGACGTGGCTTTTGCGACGCCGATTTGCAGAAATTGGCTGCCAATGAAGAGGATGGAGACGGACAGGGCGGAGATGCACAGCCACCAGGCGGGGAGCGCAAAAAGAAGGACAAGAGCTTGGACGCGCGGTTGCACAGAGTTGTTGTGGATATGTTTCGGGACATGCAAGATGTGCAATTTTATACTGGGGAGTACGCGAGCAAGAAGTTCGAAGTGTCTCGATCTCTGCTACCGGAACTCTTTGCCGGCGTTCAGCGTTTTGAAGCTGAAGAGGCACAGCGTCAGGCAGCTGTGTCAGACGCAGGACGTTAGTTGACTGTTGGATTGTTTTGTCCCTTGGCAACACAGCTCTAAGGAAAAAGTAGAAGTTGTCTAAGCGAATTTACCGCCGTGCTTTTTTTGGGGTATAGGAATATCAATACCGGCGGTCAGGAGACATGCCGAGCGGCCATGACGCCGCAGTGGCAGAGGCGGCGCCGGTGCCCGAGGCTGCGCCGTTGCCTGCAGAAGTGGCCAGGTTGCGTGCTTTGAGTTTATTGCGACGTCTGGCTTTTGGCATGCAGAGATGTGTTGCGAAGTCCAATGGGGAGATGGCCTACCAACTTTTGTTTCAGCAGGAGCAACTGGTCAGCTACAGTGGCTACAACATGTTCTTTCGGTTTGTGCCATATGCCATGTTTCGTTGTCGCGCTGTGGCCTTGGACGCAGCCGCCGCCAGCGCACCTCATTTGAAAGTTCTGCCCCTGGAGCCTGTGGAGGCTGAAGAGACTGACGCAATCCCTGCGCAAGAGGTTGCTGAGGTATTCGACGAGGAAGATTTGACGGAAAGTGGGATCCCGACAGGTGGCACGAGGGTTGTGTCGCACAATCAGAAGGATGATTACTTGCATCGTGGTGCTTCAGCCGTTATGACGTCTATGTCTTTGGTTATGTATTCTCGTTACGTGCGACGAGTTCCTCGTAGCCAAGCTGGTCGCGTTGATTACGTCAAATGTTTTCCCTTTGATGAACACTATGCACTTTCCCCTTGTCAGTGCAGGACTGTTGCTTCTGTCTTTTTCTTTTTTTGGTTGCTGACGTGTTTTGTTGTTTCATGTTCAAAAACTGCGTTGATTGTGTTTGATGTTCAAAAACTGCGTTGATGGCGTGAAAATATTCCCTTTTCCCTTTGACGAACACTACGCACATTGTCCCTTGTCAGTGCAGGATTGTTGCTTCTGTTTTTTCCTTTTTCGTTGCTGGCGCGTTTAGGTGCTTCATTATTGACAAACATAATTCATATATAGTTGGGCTGTGGTCGCTTTCCTGTGGATCTATTCCTGCGCACGGATCCATCGCTCGGACATCTGCGCGCCCTGTGACAGGAGTTGCGAACAGCAGACGACAATGTTGTGGTGCCTGTGGATTTGCGGCTTCTGGGGCAGAATGAACCTGAGAAATACGCTGCGTTTATGCTGGGTTTGTCGTTGCCCTTTCCACGTTGCCCGGGTGCACAGCATTGTGGAGAATCTTGGCAATGTTTTCATTGTCATGACATTGAAAAGCTGGAGGGGAAAGGTTTCCTGCGAGCCTGTTTCTCCAAGACCTGGAAACATTGGAAAGCTTGCATGCAGGTGCGTAAGGTGAATGCGCAGGAACGACTCTTGGCTGGCTTGAGTTTACCTTTTCTGCGTGATTTGGTGGGCTTACGCGAGTGGTGCGATGTGTCTTGTCTCTACGAGATGCTTCTGGATGGAGCAGACCCTGAGATCTCCGAAGAGATGCCTGCACAGGAGCCGGCAGGAGAAGATGCAGAGGACCAGGGAATTCTGTTTCCGGAGCACATGTCTCATGCGCAGCTGCAGTGGTTGGAGAGATTCCGCCTGCACCACGAAGCACGACAGCTCAGCAGCAGCCAGAGGAGAGCTGAGCGCTTTGCTTACATGACCAAGGAAGAGGAGGGCGAAGACGTGGAGGAGTGCTGGATACAGCACATGCTTTTTTGGGGGGGGGGGCCAAGTCGTGGTAAAGTGTTTCTGTGTATGTAGCGTAGTTGTTTGACAAGCATCACTGGCAAGTGTCCAGCTGGATACAGCACATGCTTTTTTTGGGGAGAGGCCAAGTCGTGGTAAAGTGTTTCTGTGTATGTAGCGTAGTTGTTTGACAAGCATCACTGGCAAGTGTCCATGTGCGCGGAGGACGATGTCGGTCCCGTGGACATAGAAGGATCTGATGTGGAGAACGATCTCGAGCACGAAGATGCGATAGAGCGCATGGATTGCGACGAACATCCTGTGAGCCGAGAAGCTTTGAAAGAAGTACTCTTTCGTGAGAAAGACTGGAAGCGTTGCCTGGCGGGACGCGACAACCGCACGAAGTTTGCTCTGAGCAGATTGAAGCAAGTGGTTGAGGCCATGGGTGGCTTGCCCAATGTGACTGTCAATGTTGAAGGCGAGCGTCCTCTGGATGGTGCTCTTCGTCGCGCATGGGCCTATGCTGAAGCACAAGACATGTTTGACCGGCAATCCCAGTACCTGGAGAATCTGTCTGGAGGCCTTCTGCGCCAGATAGACAGTATTTTTGTTGAGAGCTTCTGCACTGTGCGACACGAGCTTGAGAGATATAATTTTGTTCTGTGAATTCGGTGTCGTTAGTATCGCGCGTGAGAGTCGGAGAAAATATTTTGTCTTGTTATCGCGATAGCGCCCGGAGACGGAGGATGTAGTTGGACTCAGCATTTTTTTGCAGCTACTCGTCGTCTAGTTTTTTACAGCCATTGACCCATACGCCAGGTGTTCCAGATGATGCCGAGGAGGAGTTTGTGCCTACTGGCCTGGAAGCGATGACTGCGACGGATCCGTTCTTGATGGATCTGAATGCGCAGAATCTGCGACCGAGGGACTATGCCTTGAAGCTGGTGGAGGACCAAAGCTGGTGGAGAATCACGGGGTGGATCGAACGACTTGTGTCCTTAAGTAGATGTTTCTGGGAGAGTTTATTGCGTAGAGGTTTCTTGTTCAATGGGACCAGATTCTAATGGGACCGTGTGAAAGTTCTGAGTACGTCGCAAGTGTTCCGAGCACGCGACAGGAGTGCACGCTCAACGCACAGCAGATTCGCGCTGTGGCTCCCATTGTTTGCACGATCGATGAAATGTGGGAGAAGCGCGCCGAAGCGAGCACCTGCTTCGCCAATGGCCAGCCCAGTGAGCGGTGCAACTGTTTATGGCTTGGCGCGGGGGGGCTCGGGCAAAACGTGGGCATACACCAAAGTCTTGCGACCTTTGTTCCAGCGCTTCTTTGGCTTTGGTCGCTACACTGCCGGGGCACCGACCCATGCGGCCGCGCGGTTGTTGGGGGCAGAAGCCAGAACTCTGCGCAAACTGGCGAACATTTCCCCCAACTCCGCACTACACCGCGGCGCCATCCGAGGGCAGCGGAACAAAAATGATGCCTTGGAGCAACAGATCCTGGCGTCATTGGCCTGCATCGTCGATGAGCTGTCGATGAGCGCAGCGGATGTGTATCATGCTCTTGGCCTGCGCTTCTCGGTGAAGCGCTGTGAGGACTGGGCGCTGGACCTGAGCCGCTATCTGCAGGAGTGGTTCGGCAAGATGCCGATAGGGCTACAATTGGGCGACTTCCTACAGTTGCGCCCTGCCGCCCAAGCGAGCCTCTGCGAATGGGTGGAAGTTCCGTCAGCGGTAGAACCAGCGCCGCTGACGGAACTTCAAGAAGCCGAAGCCCCAGAGCAGGCCAGCAACGCAGCCGAGCTGGGGCGGCTCTTGTTCAAGAACTCCATGGGCATTGTGGTGCACTTCACTGGAACTGGGCGTTTCTCTTCTTGTGCTTCTGGCCAAGCTTTGGTGGCCATTTTGCAGCACATGCGGCAAGGCGCCGCCATGACGGACGCACTCTGGGCGCAACTCCAGAGTCGTGTCTACGAGGTCCAGCAACTGCAAGACCTCCAGACCGCGCCTTCGCGCCGGGCGTTCTTGCGGGCCTACTGGGGCGCACTTGCCTGGGAGCAGGTTGCTCGCTTGCAACAGTTGCGAGCAGTGCTTGAGGCGGAAGATGCTGGAGAACGGCTGTACTTCGTGCAAGCCATCGACAAACCCACCGGCGACGCCACACTGTCTTCCGCCCAGGTCAGCGCAGCTCTGCAGTGTTTGAACATGACCAAGACTGGCTATTTGATTGGCATGTGTCCGTTGTTTCTTGGGATGGAAGTGCGCATTTCGTGCATCTTGCCGGAGCCCTTGCAGACGCGTGAGCTCCCGTGCATAGTGCGACGCATAGAACTACATCCCAAAGAACCTCCAACGCCACCTGGAGCAGCTTGCGTGGTCCTGCAGTACCAACCGCTTGGAGTCTTGGTGGAGGTCGCAGACAGTGATTATGGTCAGTTTCAGGTCCCTGGCGACGACGTACCCAAGGGTCATTTCTACGTGAGGCCTGTGTTCAATAAGCAATCGGCCTGGGTCTTTGAGGTTGCGCCCCAGCAGAAACTTCGACTTGTTCGGAAACAGGCTTGGGACGCACTAACTTGTTTTGGGTTCTCTGGTATACATCATATCGTCGTCGTGTCGGTCTGTCTTTATCGTTTAGTTTCCTTTATGCGCAGGTACCCTTGGCCCCACAGCGAGTGCTGACTCATTTTGGACTGCAAGGCATCACTGCCAGATCTGGCCTGGTCGCTTTTCTGAATCAACCTCCCTGGATGAAGGATGGAGATTACGGTTTGGCCCTCTATGTCATGTTGTCACGAGCAACGAAGTTGAGCGATTTATGGCTCATTGGAGTGCCTGAGCGCCCATATTTTCGAAGGCTTCTTGCATGAGCACAACAAGACTTTGGTGGATCGTATGAGCCTCTTTGAACGTCTGTCTGTGCAGAGTGAGCAAGCTGCGGAAAAGTACATCCAGAAGCTGCTTTGGAGGGGAAATGCTTACGTGAACCGCACGCTTGGTGTTTCTGGAACAGGGCAAGCCAAGAGGCGGAGGCTGACAGGCAAGACTGCTGTGGCCTGAGTCTACGTGGTCTGTTGCAAGTGGATACGAAGATCCGACGCAATCACCTCGGAGAAAGTGGACGTAGCTTTGCTTAGCAGACGTTTCAGCAAGGTCGGGGTTCCCAACGAGAACAGATAAGCTGTAAATCTTTTTTTGATAGTGATAGTGGTGCTGGGACGTGCTCTGGTTTTGGGTCGCGGGTCGCGTGGCCTGCGGCTGCAGGTCCGACACCATTGCTTTTGGCTCCGGGCACGAACGTGCGTCGACGGAAGACACAGACAACGCCTCAGTACTGTGGTTCTGTAGAATAGTTCGTTTTCGATCTTGCTCGAGGTCCGAT